AACTAATGCAGAGTGTAATATACCAACGATGTTTCTTGGAAAGGGGATCCTAAGACAAGGGAGTAGTCTGCTCTAAAAGACAAATGTCTGTTTTAAAAAGGCATCCTGACATGGTCAAAGGGTCAAACCCAAGGGTAGGTACCTGCATTAAAACCAGTCCTAGGGTACTGAAACTATCAGAATAAAGTACCAAGATCGTTACTATCTATGCCAAAATTGCATTATTTATAAAGACTCTCTCTAGTCTTTCTCTTCATCAGAGGGTTTCAGCAATATGAAGTTTGTTAGCATCTGGGAAAATTGTGCATGGGTATGGATCTGTATGGGCAGTCTTTGTCAAATTCTGGCCAAAAAGGGGGAGAAAGATAGGGACCCAGTAGTCTCAGGCGAGACTCAGGAGAAAGCAACACACGGCAATGTCCAGCAAGACTCAGGTGAAGGCAACATGATCCCTAAGTAAGTAACTTTGGTTGTGTCTTGTGTTCTGAGTTAAGAGGATAGTTGTGACTTGTGATCTGAGTTACATGATCACAAGTAATAATCTTGAGAAAAGAAATCCTCTTGGGGCATCGATGGAGTGGAGTTGCTCACAGTTGACGACAGAGGTTTGTTGTTTGCTCAAAGGACATCAGCCTCTACAAAAGAAGATGTTAGACAAGATGTTGTAACATCTCAACTGTGTTGTGGCCTGGTCCCAAAATACAACTTGCACTTATTTGTTTTAGCCAAAATTTGCCAAAGGGGGAGATTGTAAGTGCCCTGGCTGGAGAGTTGGCCTCATTTGTAAAACAAATAAGAAAGCAAGTTTACCCAGATCCCCTCTGTTGTTTTAATATGTGGTGTTGAAGAAGTTCAACATCTGGACCAACATGTTGTGTAAAATGTCACAACATCAGCATGTGACATCGCGCCTGAAACTAAGTACTGATGTTATATGTTGAATGTTTGTAACAGCTGTGACTTATAACCTAACTATCCTAAGTGATCTAAATTATGGAAGAGGTTATTTGTTGTGTTGAAAAAGTTCAACATCTAGGAAAACATGTTAGATGTAATGTCATGACATCTGACTTGACATCACGCCAACAGAATTGATAATTCAGTTACAGTTCTGGTACCTAAATACTCTGAGAATATATGTGGCGTTTCCTGTGAAGATTCAATCAGAATATTTGAAGAAAATACTGTTTCTAAATATGGAGACATTTTAGGAACTAGAAGATTGAAGACCTTGATTATAGGAGAAGTTTGCTGCTGAGTTGTAACAGCAAGGAGAAAAACTTGCTGAGTTAGGTAATAGGTTATAAATAGCAGAGTGTAACCTAGGGTTTAGTGATACACACAATGTAAAATTAGGAGTGTTTTGTTAGGTAAACCTGTCGGTCTGTGGCAAGGTTACCATGTATGTAACTCGAAACCTGTAGGTAAGAGTTTGAGTGTTCTTGGATGAAGCTGTGAAGCAAGTCTAAGTATTTCTGCATTACTTCATATTCATTGTAATGTAGGAAACCAAGTGGGAGGGCACTGCTTCTTGAGTAGGAGTAAGACTTCTGTTGTTGCGACAATAGGAATGGAAACTGGTAGGTTTCTATCTAGGAGTTCCTAGGTATAGGTTGCACTGGGTAGATGATTAAGTGAAGGATGGGAACTTGTAAAGTTTAGTCCTGAATTAATATTGCTAATAGTGGATCTTCTTCCTGGCTTGGTATGCCCCCAGAGTAGGTGTGTTTCACCGAACTGGGTCAACAACTGATTTGTGTTTTTACCTTCAACACTTTATACTTCTGTTTGTTGTATATCAAGGTAAAACTGTAATGTTGTAACAGATGATGTCTCAGAACATGTTAAGACATCATGCTGATATCTGTGCAGAAGAAATAGAACTGCAAAGGTTGTTTACTCTCTGCTGATCATGTGCAACAGATGAACAGAATTAGGCACATTGGTGT